CTGCCTCTTCTTCATCTGCTGCTGTTGTTTTCCTTTCTTCTTTTATTCTCCATCATGCTTTCTTTAGTTCCACTACTAATCTTGTGCCTGAAACTGTTTGGCACCAGAGGCTGGGTCATCCGTCACTTCTCAAGTTCAATAAACTGAAGCCTTCTCCCTCTGTTGCTTGTAATAAAGCCAAGAATAATGATTCCACTTGTGTTCACTGCTGTACGGCCAAAACTCACAGATTACCTTTTAACCTGTCTAACTCTACTGTTAATAAACCTTTTTCACTAGTTCACAGTGATGTTTGGGGACCATTTTTACCATCTATTTATGGTTATAAGTACTATGTACTCTTTGTTGATGAATATAGCAAGTTTACTTGGCTTTTTCCATTATGTTACAAAAGTGAAGTCTTTGCTAAATTTGTGGAATTCATAGCTTATGTTGCAAATCAATTTTCCACTCACCTGCAAATTTTATGCACTGATGGTGGCACTAAGTTTGTAAATTTGTTTATGACTCAATTTTTCCACACTCATGGTATCCTCCATCAGATTTCTTGTCCACATACACCTCCCCAAAATGGAGTCTTTGAAAGGAAGTATAGACATATCATTGAGACTGCCATTGCCTTGCTTCATCACTCTTTTCTTCCCATCAAGTACTGGTTTGATGCCATTTCTACAGCTACCTTTTTGATTAATCGTTTGCCTAGTTCTAAAACTCCTCATTCTTCTCCTTATGAATTGTTGTTTCATAAATCTCCAGATTACTCTTTTATGTGTGTGTTTGGCTGTCAATGTTTTCCTTGGCTCAAGCCCTACACATCTTATAAGCTTCAACCTAAATCTACATTGTGTGTATTTCTTGGTTATCATCATTCTTACAAAGGCTACAAGTGCCTAGATCCTTCCTCTGGGAAGGTGTATTTGTCTCGCCATGTCATCTTCAATGAGCAGATTTTTCCATTTGGTACCACCTTTGCCAAAGCCTCAGCTGCTCCCATTTCTCAGACTTTGTCTTAACTTCAGTCCTTTTTCTAGTCTCCTTCTTTAGACCTTCAGTCTTCGTCTAATCCTAAGTCTATTTCTCCACCTGTGCCTGTTCTCTCTTCTTCTGTACTTCTGCAGGCTGCACTGTCTTAGCCTGCTTTGAATTCTTTCTCTGCTCAGCCTACACCACCTTCTGCTCATCCTTCTCGGTCTACTGCCCCTATTGATCAGTCTCTTTCTGCTGGTGTCCAGCCTCATTCTTCTATTCACATTTCTTCTATTTCTATTGATCTTCCTCTTCCTCCTCCAACATTGCATTATGCCAGACTGGGGACTGAAGAGCTTGCTGATAGGTCAACGGCTCTGTGTCAAGATAGAAAGAAGAAAAAGAAGCAGAAGAAGAGGCCAATTTAGCGTCATGACCGGCCAGTAATCATAGATTACCTACGGCCTCTTGTACAAATGAACCTCTTAATATGAAGTACGGGGCTTAGCAAAAATTTGAAACAACGTAGAAATTATCCATTGAGCTGTGCATGTATGAGGAGAACTAATATAATAAGCAAAGTTTTGATTTAAAAGTACATTTATCATAATTGTACAAAATTCATGTCTTGCAAATATACAACCCCAACTATAAACAAATACAAAACTATTGAAATACACACAAGGGGGTTCAACTAGCATAGCTCCTCCTGAGCCTGATCACTTCACTTAGAAGCTCCTCAAAAGGGCTGACCCGGGTAGACTCGAGGCTTTCTAGCTTTGATGTTCAGCTTGCCCACCTACATATATATATAAATAAATAGTGAGCTAAAGCCCAATGAGTAATAACATAATAAAGAGGTTATATGAATGAAGCTTGATAACATGCTCATCAAAATTCTTGTTTCAAATCTTTATATCCAATAAATTTCATAATCGACGTCATTCAATATCAAAATATGTGGCACACCCATGAACAATAACATTCCAATCATGGTGGAGCAAAACCAATGGACCACGAAGGGTCAAGCCAATGGACCACAAAGGGCCAAACCAATGGACCACAAAGGGTCAAACACTAGAGATCTCTATGTAATCCAATAGCCTTGGTATTGTTACCTCCAGGCAAGGGCCTACATCCAATGGCCGTGGTATTGTTACCCGCAGGCAAGGGCCTACATCCAATGACCGTAGTATTGTTACCCCCAAGCAAGGGCTTACAACCAATAGTCGTGGTATTGTTACCCCCAGGCATGGGCCTATGTTCAATGGATGCCACAAATACATTTCAAAAATGAACTTCATTCATCATTACAAAATAACTTTTCTATAAACCATTCAATCAGTCACATATTGATTCCAAAGCAATAACAATTTCGAAAATAATATTACTTGAACATATCTTTATAAAGTTACTACTCACAGTGGTTTGAGTTGTCACTAAGCCTCGGACGTCCACCTAAACAAAACATATAACAGAAGCACAGTTGAAACACCAATTCATTTTAATTCAATTATACTCATGTGTTTCTAACTCATTTTATGATTATATGAGTCCAAATGGTGCCTAAGAATACTTGGAGAAAAATGAAAGATTAAGCATGCATGTGCATAATCAACTCAAATTCATCATATCCATGGTAATTCATGCTCAATCTACTCAAATTCAAACAAATGATCCCCTAACTCCATGAACTTAGTTTCTACATGACTTGATTCCAAGAATTGGCTTGAGTTTCATACCTAATGTGTGAGTTCAAGTGTTGGACTAGCTCAATTCACCAAAACTCTAGCAATTCACTTCAATCTCCTCTTTTTCTCTCTAAATGTTGAACTCTTCTTCCTTCTTTCTCAATTCTCAGCCAAGTGTGTGTATATGTGGGCTCATAAGCTTATTTAGAGCAATTTATATGGTGTGATTAAGTTAGTCTAATCACATATGATTAAGGTTAACTAGTTAGGCTTAATTCTAGTTAATTCAATCAGTTTATTCTAATTATTTTGATCCAAATCAATTTTCAATTAAAGTTACCATAAAATTCTAAATATTCTAATTAGCCTATTGGGCTAGTCAATTTCAGTTTCTGAAGTCATATAAGTTCTCAATTTCTATATCTAAGTTGTCAATTCGAATAGATATTCCATGTAATGATAGATAATTATAAAATTAAGCATGTAATCGCGTAAATAAACACACAATCATGCAATTAGACTTTGTAAAATATCATTATACACTGGTTCGGAGGTCGGGGTCGTCACAATAATGCTCTTCTAGCCCAGGGTACTTGGTTTTTGGTTCCTCTACCCTCTTCAAAATCTGCCATAAGCTGCAAATGGATTTTTCGCATTAAGTGCAATTCTGATGGATCTATTGCTGGTTATACGGCTCGTTTGGTTGCCAAGGGGTTTCTCCAACAATAGGGTATTGACTATACTGAAACTTTTAGCCCTGTCACCAAACAACCTACCATTCGCAATTTATTATGTCTTGCCTTCAATTACAATTGGCCTCTCAAGCAATTAGATATCAGTAATGCTTTTCTTCATGGAACCTTGGAGGAGGAAGTTTACATGACTCAGCCACCTGGTTTTCCTTGTGCTTCTCATCTACATCATGTTTGTCTCTTAAAAAAGGCTATCTACGGTTTAAAGTAAGCTCCTAGAGCCTGGTGGTACTCTACATTCTCCACCTTTCTTTTATCTCAAGGTTTCCTTAACAGGCACTGTGATAATTCCTTATTCATTTAAAGGACAGCTTCCACAATCACTATTCTCCTAGTCTATGTTGATGATATCCTGGTAACAGGTAGTAATTCTTCTCACATTGACTCTCTTATTGCTCACATGCATATTGTTTTTGCCATGAAAGAGTTGGGGAACATTTCTTATTTTTTGGGGGTCTCTAATAAGGCTTGTGGTGATTCTTATTTTCTGTCTCAACATAAATATGCCTCTGATATTCTTCTTAAGGCTGGGATGGCTAATTACAAGCCTTGCAGTTTCCCAATTTCTGTTAAGCCTTCTCTCTCTCTCTCTCTCTCTCTCTCACTCTCTCCAGATTCTCATCTTCCCTTTGGTCAACCTGAACTTTACCGCAGTATAGTCGGGGCACTCCAATACCTCACTATCACCAGGCCTGATTTGTCTCTTTCAATTAACCAAGCTTGTCAACATATGCATACTCCAACTGTTGGGCATTTTGCTTCAGTCAAGAGATTGCTCCGATTTGTGCAAGGGACTTTAACTCATGGTCTCACATTCAGTCCTAGTTCATTCGATTTACAGGCTTTCTCTGACTCTAACTGGGCCGGTGATGTTCTCGATCGCCGCAGCACTTCTAGCTATCGTGTGTATCTTGGTTTGAATCTTAGTTCTTGGTCAACTAAAAAACAACCCACAGTGTCTCGCTTCTCCATAGAGGCAGAATACCGGTCTTTGGCTCATACTACTGCTGAACTCACCTGGTTGCAAATGTTGCTTAGTAAGTTTCACCTTCCTTTCTCCATTGCTCTTATTTTATGGTGTGATAACCTCTTGGCTATTTCCTTAGCCTCTAATCCTATGTTTCACATTCGTTCAAAACATATAGAAGTGGATTGTCACTTCATTCGCAAAAAGGTTACACACAAATAGATCTTACTTCGTTATGTTCCTTCTTTGGACCAGATTGCTGATATCTTTACAAAGCCTCTCTCTGTGTCTCGGTTCCAATACCTTCAAGCCAAGCTTCTAGTCTCTCCCTCTCCCATCAGCTTGCAGGAGGGTGATAAGACAACCACAGCAGTTTCAGGTTCAGCTTCAGCCTTAGGTTCAGCTGCAACTGCTCCAACTCCAGCTATCCATTCTCCGTCAGTTACATCAAGATCATTGTATAGTCAGTTAGGAATTGGTTAAGTAGTTATATTGAATTAGTTACAAGCTTAGCTTAGCATTGTATATATAATATAGTTGTGTAAGTCATAATTCATTCAATGAGAAATAATATCCTTTTCTTCAATAACAACATAATGCCATCTTTGTATAAAGGGTAAAACAATGGGCGCATGCCCAATATAGAAACAAATACATGTTAGCAAAATGTTTTAATTTTCTTCAACTTTAGAGCCTCAAACTTGGGGTTTTAGGATCACATTTTGTGTGATTTATGGTTTTTTCAACATTTTGAGTAAGAGTTTTAGAATTTATGATTTAGGCATAGGTTTTAGAGGTTTCATATTTGTGATTTTCGGCTTGGGGAATTCACATAGTAAAAATTTAATAGAAACTTTTTTAGGATTGTTATTATGTTCATAATTCATATTTTTTTAGTTACTTTTCTTAAAAAAAGAAGTTGATTATTATTATCATTTTTGTGTTACAAAGTGTTAGAAATCTTTGAGTCAAAGTTTTAGAACTTTTTTGATTTTTTAAAGGCTTTATGGCATTTAGGGTTTGAGTGTTCCTCTTCTGATGTATGGGAAAACCATAAGAAACAAAATTATGTCAAAATTCCTCGTTTAAGTTTGGGGAAAGAGGTTTGTTATTAGATTTCTAGAATTGTAATTGCATTAAATGACTTTCCCAATCGATAATTTACATTAATTGTTCTTTTCCAAAAAATAAAAGATCTAATTAATTCCTCCACAACAATGCACCAACTTACATATATGGGATACTTTTTTGATTTCAACATATATGGGATATGGAATATGATAAATAATTTTTTAAAAGAAGAACTACACCCTGTTTAGTCCCCATTTGGGTGGAACCTAACCTTTGGCATACCTTCCACAAAGTAGTTGTTCTTAGGTTTGAACCCCTATCCTCAAGATTAGTAGGTCAAATTTTAAATAATGAATCGGTGGTTAAATGAAAAGTACTACACTTATCTCAAGGGACTAATGCATTTTCGTACTTAAAACACTGCCAAGGAATGAGAGATTGGAATATGTTAGTCCTACTCTTGTGCTACTTACCCACAACTAATGTAGTGATACCATTTATGACCCATGTTGTAAGGCATATGAAGGTGCCACCATAATTTTTATCTTTACGTTAGCTGTGGATCTCTTTCATCTCATTCACTTTATTTTGTCTAGCTTAATTTCATCATCATCGTTATCTATTTGGTATATAGCAATATGGACTACAATTCTATCACCTTATTCATTTATTTCTTATTACATAATTTCAGTGTGATAACTTCTCTGACAATATGCCCTTTTTTAGTAGGTAATTCTATTCTAAAGATATGCCTTACTTGTGCTAATGCAAAATTCTGATGCTAGTGAGACATAATCCATTACAGGTGAGGCCATGAAATCAAGTTATATAACGGTGTCATTACACTTGAATTGTTTCATCAATTTTTTTATTTTTTATTTTATATTTTAACTTCCATTGCATGTTGCTTCTGAAATTTGTCCGTAACATATTAGTATTTTGAGTGGCATTTTATGGACCATTGCTTTTTCTTCTTCTGAAGGACTGATTCTTTCAAGCTGAGCTTATATATACTAAGAAGCTGTTATTTTTCCAATCGATTCATATATACCCAGAACTAAAAAGAGATTCCGCTAATTGCGGTCAGTCTCGCTAAAGTTGCCGCCCACAAGAAAGAAGCATTGAAACACAGTAGCCCATGCACAAAGGGCATTGAAGAGAAATATTAGAAACATATGAAAGAAAGAAGGACCAATGTGTAGACACCTCAATTTTGACTGGCCCTAAGACTTGGGTGCTTTCTTTTAATTACCCGATGATGACAATTAGAATGTGTTTCTCACAGAATCCTCAGTAAGAAAGATGGAATTTGAGCTTTAATCCCAACCTTCACCATTTTGGCCAAATTGTTTTAAACTACTAAATATTTCATTAGTTTAGTATTTTGTCATTTTGCATAATTTTATGTGTTTGTTCATATTTTTGCTTTGCATATATATATATATATATATATTATATTATAAACCATTAAATAAGTTGATACCATTAATTATAATATATATTATATATTATTAGATTTGTATTATTATAAAAAAATATATAATTGTTTTGATGTCGGCAGTCGACATCCAAATCAAACTTTGCATAACTTTGCATATATATATATATATATATTATATAAGATTTATATTATTATATTATTATAATTTCCTTATATAAAGACATAGGAGGAGAGGCTCAGCGAAAAAGAAGAAAGAAGGAAGAGTTTGAGAAAAAAAAAGGGGGTGGCCCAGTAGGAAAAGGAAAAAGAGGGAAAGGCTAATCAAAATCAGGGAGAGGGAAAGGCTATTCAGAATCAGGGAGAGGAAAATGAAGTGGGGTGAGAGAGTTTGAGAATAGAGAGAGGGAAAATGAAATATTTTTTTTGATATTTTTATTTCCATTTCATCAATACACCATTCAAAAAACCAACCACTAAAGCTGTAATTCCAAATTTTGGACCGAGAACTGAGAACACATTCCACAGACTTGAGAGTAATCAAAAGAAAGTTTGTGACTCAAAAAATTCATTATTTCTCCAAAAGGTGAGTTTTCGCAAATTTTTATTTAATTTAAAAATGTGATATAATTTGTTTAAATACTTCATTTACTTCTTTTCATAACTATTTTTTTTTATCGCTTTAATGGGATGGCTGCAGCACCTACATATCTACTGTAATTTAAATATTGTATATAAACTGTTGTAATTTATTACTTTAAATAATTTATCCCGCCGGATAAATACTAACCTCCGGCGGTGAATAGTACCTCCGGCTATTTAATTTTGCTCGCTTTCTATAGCTTAATTTCAGCACTATTATATGCTATTTAGGGGCTGTTTAATTTATTTCAATGATTTATGTTTTAAATATCAAGTTTGTTTGTACTAACCAATTAATCAACTTTGCATAATCATCTCTGCAACCTCCCTCCCTTCTTTGCTTATTTCGATTAAAAAGTTGTGAAAAATTAAGATTGTGGTTCAAGTATAAGAAAGCAACTTTTCCATGCTTAATGGTTTAATCTCTTCGGAGGTTCATTACCAAAGGTATAAAACGTTATATGCTTAATGGTTTAATCTCTTTGGAGATTCACTACCAAAGGCATAAAACGTTTTATGCTTAAAAGGTTCATTACCAAAAGTATACAACGTTTTATGCTTACTGATTTAATCTCTTAGGAGATTTACTACCAAAAGCATAAAACGCTCTATACTTAGGTTTAAATTCTTTGGAGGTTCACTACCCCAAATGTATACATGTTCTTATACTAAAGCACAATCTTTTCTTTTTCATTTTTCTTTATTCATCAGTGTGTTTTCTTTTAAGGGACTAACTGACCCTTGGAAAGCACCAAGGAAAGTGTCATTACCACTTATTATCACGTTTGGATTTCAAGTCATTATCACTCAAGTTTGGATTTTTCTACGTTATAATCACTCTTTTGAGTTTGACTAGTCCTTGTTGCACATCTTGAGTTTGACTAGTTCTTATTTCACATCTTGAGTTTGACTTGGAATCCCTTATCGCGTGTAAATAAGTTTGACTCTTCCTTTGTAATTTCCCCTGAAAAAAATTTTCTCTGGTTAAGTTGATGCTTGCTTCTCTTTATTGCGTTTTGGACTTAGTGGACATAAATATCACTTTTGTACAAACAAGAGAAAAGATAAAGAAATAGAAAGGTAATAAAAAGGCTAATAAAATTGGCTAAAATTGGATTACAACCGACATAAAGAACCAATATGATTAATTGAATTCGGTCGGACGTTATATCGAGTTTATTGAGTCAGGGCTTATTGTAATAAATTAGACAGCCCCTTTCATTTATTATTCATTCGGTTTTGTAATAATTATTTATTCGTACATTTGGACATTTGGACCCTCCTTCGCGAGGACAAATATGTAATAAGTTGTATGTCTTCCAACCCCCATTCTTTCTCCCTTTTTATTTCAGTGCTTATGATGGTTAGATTAGGGACATCATGTTTAATTAACATTTTCCATGATTTGCATCCATTCGTTTACATGCATAAAAGTTCGGCTCATCATATTATTCAAATGTCAAATTCAAACTCCTTACTTGCATACATGCGCTATCACATGCCTTGAATTGACTCACATGCCATACTAGCAGCCGAACCTTAATTGCACGTTGCATGTGTTGCATCAGTCATTAAATTAGGATCATGCCTTTTTTTTTTTCTAACTATTTGCTTTCTTTTTGGACTCGCTTTTGGACATTAAGGTAAGCATTTTTGCTTTAGCATATTGCATAAGTGTGAATGTTGTCATATCAAACATACTAACATGAGTCTAACTGCTTATTTGATATACCTATTTGAATGCTTGTGAATGAAGGCTAATCACTTGAATTTGGATACTTTGATTCATGTATATATGAGATCACCATTTTTAGTGAGATATATTCAACACATTTTTTTTTTAAAACAAACATGGAATCAAATGTTTCAACTTTTCGTGAAATTAGTCTATATTTGTATGTTACATATAGAACAAGAACATATAGTGTACATAAAAATCACATCATGATTAGCAAAGGCCGATCTTTGATCGAGTGAGTGGGGTGTTCAATTATTGACCTTCCCCTCTCATACCTAAATTCCCGAACCCAGACACTTTGGTAACGACAGACTAATGGCCTTTGGCACGAGTCATGGTTTTCCTAAATTTTCCAAAAATAAATATTTAGATGGCGACTCTGAAATCTGGCAAAGCAGTCCATTTTTGGCATTTGATTCAAACATCGATTTTCCAAAAGAAATTGCCAGATTTGGACTCTTTTTGTGTTTCCACTGTTTCACATTGCACTTGTGAAATCAGAATTAGAACCAAAACACAAGTGGAGTTAGAACTGTAAGGGCTATTTCATTCTTCCGAAAGGGAGCGCGAAAAGCCGAGCTACACAATGATGAC